ATGTCAAACATATGGCTTGAACACAGTCAAAATAAATACCACAGAAAATAAGTTCAGACATTAAGTTTCTTAGTTGTAAAACAACCTTGCAAACTTTGTATGATACTTCATGTAGGCGAGTTGCAGCTTGCAATCTGAATTGAGGACGGGTTTTTGGAGTTAGTTTACCCTCACGGGATCGCGATCCTTTGCCTAGCCATTGTAGCAAGTGTGTCGCCCAAGACATGAGGGGCATGATGCAAGAAATTGTCAACTCACTTTATGAAATACAAGAAAACTATATTATAGCTGCAAGTCAAATCACTCAAATTCTAATTCAAGAGCAGAACCTCAGATGCACCCCAAAACTCATAAATCAAATTCTGAATGAACAAACAACGAAGGAAGAAGGAACAAAGTTAGCTCAAAAAAGAAATTATTCACTAGAAACAAATGCATAGTCATCCGAATATATGGCATGAACAATGTTTCTTCAATACCATTTAGCTCATTGAGCCATCCAACAATTTTAATTGGAAAGAAACATGAATTTGGTAGCCTTCAGACAAATTTTAACGTTTATACAAGTGTAGCATATATTACGACAATTGTATCAACCTTATTTTATCATTTCACAAGACCGCCACCAACCATTTCCTGAAGAAGCTTTTCAGCCTTCTCATTCTCGTTGTTTTCCAAAAGAGCTAGAAGAAGTGTCTTGAATGATACAGAATCAGGTAGACAGCCATTCCCCTCATTATTGGAAGCAAGGCCATAGCTTCATCAAACAAGCCTTTTTCACAGAGCCCATTGATTATAATGTTATATGTATAGACATCTAGACTATAGCCATTGACCAAAAGGTGCTGAAAAATCTCTCGAGCATCATTTAGTCTACCTCCTTTACACAAGCCATCGATAAGTATACTGCTACCTCCGGTCTTAATTATAAGAGCCAGTTAACTAATTTGAGGAGATTAAAGAAGTAAGTTGAGTTAGTTATTTGTCCTAAATAGGTATTGTCTTTCATAAAATATCTTTACTAATCAAGTGTATTGATTAGAGCTACCATTGTTAGAAGGGCTATTTTGAAAAAAAAAATATAAATATGAGAGACAAAGTAGATTGGGGTCTTATATTTAGAATCAAAATAAAAATCAAACAGGATCTAATATTAAGGACCGGAGGTAGTATATGTGTAAGCATCTGCTTGAATTCTGTCGGCGACAATTTGCTCAAATAGAATAATCCCCTGATCAAGATTTTGATTTTTGCAAAATGCATCTAACAAAATATTACAAGTCACTATATTAGGGGCTTGACCATTTTCTTGCATCTCATGAAAAAGATCTCGCACCTCAGACATTCTACCGGATTTGCACAAGCCATCAATAACAGAATCATAAGTTCTCACACTAGGAACCAAGCTTTTGCGACGCATTTCTCTCAAGAGTTCTAAAGCTAAATCAATTATTTTAATCTCACAAAATCCATTGATCATTACTCCCTCCGTCTCTTATTATAAGGTCTAATTTTTTGAATAGATTTGTCCCTTTTTATAAAATTATTTTTGAATTTGTCTGAGCATTTAATGTAGTATTACCTATTTTACTCTTAATTTAATGTATTTAATACATTCTCTTTCTTCATTTATCTCACTATTACTCTCTCACATTTATCCATATATATATAGGGATATATTTGGGGGGAAAACTGTATTTGCTACATATTAATTATTTTTAAATAATTTTAACTATTTTTTTTAAATCACATAATTTAGTTAAAATGATCTCATAATAAGGGACGGAGTAATATATTATAACTAACTATATCAGCCACTACACCACTTTGAACCATCTTATTGAATACTTCTTTCGACTCACTAACATTATTCATCAGAAAGTATCCATCCATTAAAGAATTGTAAGTTACAACATTTGGTCTCTCACCACATTTCATGTGTGAGCTTCAATGATCCTCCTTTCTTTACAAAATGCATCAATCAATACATTAAATGTATATACATTAGGTTTGATGCTTTTCAATTCCATTTCATGGAGCAATTGGGTAGTTTTTTTTCCACTGCCCAATGCTACAATAACCATGGATTAGAGAGGTACATGTAACAAGCGACGGCAGAATTCCTTGATCAATTATTGTTGAATAAAATTCATCGCCTCAATGACATGACCAAGTTTGCAAAAGCCATCAATGATAGTGCTATGTCCGACTACATCAGATTGAATTCCCTTCCTCTCCATCATTTGGACCAATTTAACAGCAGACCTTATTTTCCCTATTTTACATAGTCCCTTGATCAAGGTGCCGTAACTAATTTCATCAAATTGAAATCCTTTAGCCGTTAAGTCATCATAAAAGTACAGTGCTTCCCCAACCTTATTATTAATTCAGAGTCCTTTTAATAGAGTAGTCAAGGTTGTTACATTTGGTCGAAGATCCATTTTGAGAATCCTTCCCAATATTGAGAAAGCAGAATACAGGAGTGTTTGGTAACCTCCAAACCATGGTTTCAGAAGCTCTTTTTCACAAAACAAAACAAATTCCTCTACATATTTACTTTGTAAATCGTAAAAACACTTCTAAAACCATGATTTGGTTTCTATCCAAACACCCCATACATCTGACTCGCGTGGCAGTAACAATTGATCGAGATGTTCAGTGTAATTAAAGAAGGTGTAAAGCCCTCGAACTCAGCTTGTGTAGACAATGAGATCGCAATTCGATAGTGTTTAGCCTTGGCAATTGATCAAAATGCTTGTTAATTTGGATGATAGAAGGCAGGGGACGCATATGTAGCAAGCGATTGAACAAAGCGACACTGTCGTCGATGTTAATTGATGAAATGATAATTAATATGTATCTCATTTATCTAAATTTGGGCTCTCTTCATTAATCTTTGTCCCATTTATTATTTGCTTTACTATAAATTATGACGTAGGCTTGGGCACCCTTCCCAAGTGCATTATTTGCTTTACTACTCTAAAGGCAAAAATGCTCCTTAATCCTTTCATCCTGTACAAAATTTTATTTTAATAATTTTAGAGTGTTTAGATGAAAACCCATCTCTAATTTTAAAAGTGATTTTACGGTATACAAATTACAAAGTAATTCAAATGCCTCCTTAATTCTAAAATTTTATTTTAATAATTTTAGAGTGTTTAGATGAAAACCCATCTTTAATTTTAAAAGTGATTTTACGGTATACAAATTATAAAGTAATTCAAATGCCTTCTTAATTCTAAAACTGCTAGTTTTATCAAGAAAAACAATGACATTAAAATTTTTTTCCACCAAAAAAATGACATTAAAATTTTAGATGTCAATAAAATATTCACAAATGCTCCTACATGAAGTTTAATATTCTTTTAAAATAACAATAATTGACACAAAATTATCATTTGAAATTAACTTTGTTAGAATTAAATGACTAAAAAATACTTTACAATAAAATAAACCTTTTCCGCATTAAATACAACTACTCTATTTGATGCTGGAAGTGCTCTTAAGCTGAGATTCCTTTCAGCATTTCCCGTTCAGAGTTAACGATCAGCACCATAGTATGAATAATAATTAACTGCATATTAGAACAAGAACCATCGGAATAAAGGATCAAATCCCTTTAATTTTATTCAGTTTGAAATAAGTACCAAAAAAAAAAACAAGAAGAGGACGAGGAGGAGGATATTTATCCAGTTTGCCAAAAGAAACAAACATTTGGAAACCATTCAAGCGAGTTCAACTGTAAAGTAAGATACAAACACATCCCTTTAGCTTGTACTCCAAAAATAAGTTCAGACATTGAGTTTCTTGGTTGTAAAATAGCCTTAAAAATTTTGCATGCTGTCCACAATACACTGCAAGAAATTATCAATTCGCTTTGTGAAATATAAGAAAGGTATATTATAGCTCCAAGTCAGATCGTTCAAATTTTAATTCAATGGAAGAACCTGAGATGCACTCCAAAGTTCATAAATCAACTTCTGAATGAACGAACAATGAAGGAAAAAGGAACAAAGTTATGCTGACAACAAAAATTATTCACTAGAAACAGATGCATGTTCATTCAAAACAAATGGCTTGAATGAGATTTCTTCAACACGTTTTAGGTCGTTGGAACATCCAAAGATTTTAATAGGAAAGAAATATGAATTGGAAGGCCCTCAGATAAATTTCAACTGTTACATATCAAGTGTAGCAAATATTATCACTACTGTGTCAACCTTACTTCATCATTTTACAAAACCATCACCAATCATTTCTTCAAGAAGCATTTCGGCCTTCTCATTCTCATTGTTTTCCAAAAGAGCTTTAATAAGCGTTTTATATGTTACTGAATCAGGAAGACATCCATTTGCCCTCATTTTGGAAAGCAAGGCCATAGCTTCAACCAACAACCCTCCTCTACAAAGCCCACTGATCATAAAGGTATACGCATAGACATTTAGATGATAGCCACTGATTAAAAGCATTGAAAAATCTTTTGAGCATCATCTAGTTTACCACCTTTACACAAGCCATGAATGAGAATGGTGTATGTGTATACATTAGGTGGAATTCTCCGCGCAATCATTAGCCTAAATAATGCAAACCCCTGATCAAAATTTTGACTTTTGCAAAACTACCATATTATTTTTATATTTATTAAATGAAATAGTTTTTCTATGTATATTTTTTAAATTATGATAATGAATTTGTGATTTATTTTTTTTAAGTTCTAATTGATATATGAACTTTTGTTTAAAACGCAAAGGATGACTTGGGTCATACGTGTTTGGATATGCTGGTTGCCAATCACCTATGAATTCCGAAAGGAAAATAGCAAACTTTTATTTAAAAAGTAATTTATTAATTATGATCTAATTGTTAATGATTATGAGCTGACATGCTGGTAATATATTATTCGTATGCCGATAACCAGGATTTAGAAAAGGCAGAAAGCACTTTGAGCAGTCATATACTGATTTTTTTTTTTTTTGGGTAAAAGATGAGGGACAGCTTAATTTAATTAATTAAAATTGACAATAACAATAATAACAACAATAACAAACCTTATTGAGGTCGGGTACATAGACCACACAAGCCAAACTAATTAAAACAGAATGGGGACTAAATCCCATACAATCACTAAGCATAATAGCCAGCAACTGAGTTGGACAATAATCTAATAAAGCCGTAAAAGAAAGCCCAAGCTTCGGCCAGCGCATCAGCAAGATTGTTGTGTATTCTTGAAGTATGACATAATTTCACATCCCAATTAACCATCATCATCTCACAAATCGGGAGGAACACCGAGCTGCAGTTGGTATAGGAGCTTTAGCTACTCAATAATTCAATCAAAATCTTTGAATCTGATTCAATGATTACTTTTCTAAAACCAAAATCCCAGGCCAATTTGAGACCATTATAGATCGCCATTCCTCTGCTTCCAGGACATCACAGTTTCCAAGGAGTTGCGTGAAGCCCACAATCGAGGATCTTTGACAATCTCTAATAACCCCGCCACATCCAGCCATATTAACTTTGACTCAATCTTGTGGAGGAGGGAGCCATATGTAAATATCAGCATCACGGGGGGGCAAAACGTGTGCTCCCTTGATTTCATTCTGTTGAGCAAAGGATTTCCAAGTAGTCAATATAATAGAAGCAGGATTATTTGGCAATCGAAAATCATCATTGAAGTAGAACCTGTTCCTCCATAGCCATAAGTGCCAAACCGACACACCCCAAATAATATCCCAAGAGACATTCAAATTACATATTGGAACAAGAAACATTGGAATAAAAAATCAAATCCGCCGCCTTTAAGTATTACTTTACAGTTGAAGAGGCAGTCTGCTTCTTTCTTCATCAACAAGTGCCAAAAGTTGTGACATCCTTGGAGGCAACTGCAACAGACATGTGCGCGCGCGTGTGTGATCAATAATATCTGATAATCTCCAATGTTCTCCAAATAAATTGGAAAAAAAAAAAAAAAAACTCACTTCCTTTCACTAGGGGTGTTCAAGGCCAGCCCGTCCCGGTCGGCCCGTTCCGGTCCCGGTCTTATTGGGACGGGACGGATCCGTCCCGAAATTTTTCGGGACGGGACAAAAAAGGGACCGGGACGGGACGGGACTCGGGACGGGGTCGTCCCGTCCCGGTCGCGTCCCGGTTCCTTTTTTTAAAAAAAAAAAAATTAATTTTTTAAATTTTTTATATAATATCATTTTTTTCATATTTTTTAAGATTTGAGACTATTGTATGGAATTATGGATATATTTATTTAGAGTTTTTATATTTGTTAATGATTTGAGATTATTGATGATTAGAATTTTTAGCAAGTTTTTATTGTGTTAAAAGCTTTTGTTTAGAGTTTTTAATAACTATTATATGTAATATTTTGAGCTTTTGTTTAAGAGTGCCCAAACAAATAAAAAAGATGTTTTTATAAGGTTTAAGCTCAAAAAAATATAATTAAAAAAATCATATTTTTTAAAAAAAATTAAAAAAAATTAAAAAAAATAAAAAAAATAAAAAATAACAATTTCGGGACGTCCCGGTCCCGTCCCGGATCCGTCCCGTCCCGACCGGGACCGGGACAACCCCGGGACGGGCCGGGACACGGGACAGAAAATCTGTCCCGTTACTGTTCACCGGGACGGGCCTGTCCCGGTCCCGATCCGTCCCGTGAACACCCCTACCTTTCACAATGAAGTCAAATAAATACCTAATCCATTTGGAAGAAGGTGACAACCAGCCACATTAGGTTCATGGGCCTCAAGGGTCTTCAAGGACAAAACCATAAAGTTATAAGAGTTTCAACAACACTATTTCTGGAAACTACAATTACACCAGCAATTAAACCAGCAATTGCCTAAAGTTAGAAACACAAAGAATAAAAAACACAAAAGGTAAAGATGCCAACAAAATTATTTTCTCTTACATGTCAACTTATATACTCAAGGAGATTCAAGGACCATGAATCACATATTCATGATAGTTAAACTCACCTCCAAGAGGTGTCCCAGAGGCCTTTGAAATAAGACCCAAAAGTTCTTTAAAAAAAAAAAAAAGAATAGAGAGAGAGGATATTAATTCAGTTTGCCAAAAGAAACAAACGTGGAAACCATTCAATCAAGTTCAGCTCAAACATTAGTATGTTACATACACATATCCCTTTAATTTAAGCTAGTACTCCAAAAATAAGTTCAGGCATTGAATTTCTTGGTTGTAAAACAGCCTAATTGTCCCCCGATGTACAGTAAGGAATTAACTCACTTTATGGAATACAAGAAAACTATATTATAGTTGCAAAGTCAGATCACTCAAATTCTACTCCAAAAGCAGAACCTGAGATGCACCCCAAGGTCAATAAATCAAATTCTAGATGAATGAACTATGAAGGAAGAAGGAATAAAGTCATGCTCTAAGCAAAAATTATTCACTAGAAAACACAGTCAGAAATTAAAATGTCAAACATATGGCTTGATCGAGATTAACCCTTTTATGAGAACAGAATCAAACAAGCCCCGAGATCCTTGGTTGTAAAACAGCCAAATTAACTTTTTATGATGTCCACAATATAGTGCAGGGAATTATCAACTCACTTTATGAAATACAAGAAAATTATATTATAGCTGCAAATCCGATTTCAAATTCTAATCCAAGAGAACCTGAGATGCACCACAAGGTTCATAAATCAAATTCTGAATTGAAGAAGGAACAAAGTCATCTCTAAACAAAAATTATTCACTACAAACAAACGCATAGTCAGAACAAATATGTCAAACATATGGCTTGAAGAAGATTTCTTCAACGCCATTAAGGTCATTGAACCATCCAACAACTTTAATTGGGAAGAAACAAGAATTTGTTAGCCCACAAAGACAAATTTCAACATTTCTACAAATCTAGCATATATTAGGACGATTGTATCAACCTTAATTTCTCATTTTACAAGACCACCACCAATCATTTCATGAAGAACCTTTTCAGCCTTATCATTCTCTCTCTTCTCCAAAAGAGCTTGAATAAGAGTTCTATATGTTACCGAATTAGGGAGACATCCATTGGCTCTCATTTTTGAAAGCAAGGACATAGCATCATCAAACAAGCCTTTGCTACAAAGCCCACTAATCATAATGTTATACGTGTAGAAATCTGGATGATAGCCACTCGTCAAAAGGTATTGAAAAATCTTTCGAGCGTCATGTAGTCTACCTCCTTTACACAAGCCATCAACAAGTATATTGTATGTGTATGCATTAGGCTGAATTCTGAGGGCAACCATTTTCCTAAATAATGCAATCCCCTGATCAAGATTTCGACTTTTGCAAAATGCATCTAACAAAATACTATAGGTCACTGTATCTGGGGCATGACCACTTTCTTGCATCTCATAAACAAGATCTCGCACATCTGACATTCTCCCGGATTTGCACAAGCCATCAATAAGAGAATTATATGTTGTCACATCAGGAACCAAGCTTTTGCAACGCATTTCTCTTAAGAAATCTAAAGCTACATTGACCATTTTAATCTTACAAAATCCGTTGATGAGTATATTATAACTAACTATATTAGGTACTACACCGCTTTGAACCATCTTACTGAATACTTCCTTTGACTCACTTACGTTATTCATCAGACAGTACCCATTCATTAGAGAACCGTAAGCTATAACATCTGATCTCATACCAAATTTCATCATCTTAGCAAACACAGTGAGAGCTTCAACGATCCTCCTTTCTTTACAAAATGCATCAATCAATACAGAAAATGTATAAACATTAGGTTTGAGGCTCTTCCATTCCATTTCACGGAGCAAATGGTTAGCTTCTTTCCACTGTCCTATGCTGCAAAAGCCATGGATTAGGGACGTATAAGTAATAATAGATGGCAGAATTCCTTGATCAATCATTGTTGAATAAAACTCATGCGCTTCAATGACAAGTCCACATTTGCAAAGGCCATCAATGATAATGTTATAGATGACTACATCAGATTTAATTCCCTTCCTCTCCATCATGCGGAACAATTTAACAGCAGACCTTATTTTCCCTATTTTACACAGTCCTTTGATCAGGGTTCCATAACTACGTTCATTGAATTGAAATCCTCTAGCCGTTAAGTCGTCATAAAAGTCTAGTGCTTCCCCGACATAGTTATTAATGCAGAGTCCTTTTAATAAAGTATTCAACGTTATGGTACCTGGTCGAAGATCCATCTTGAGAATCCTTCCCAATATGGAAAAAGCAGAATAAATCTGACCCACATGGCAGTAACAATTGATCAAGACGTTCAGTGTACATAAATCAGGTATGAATCCCTCGAACTCCGCTTGAGCAAACAACGAGATCGCAATTCGATATTGTTTAGCCTTGGCAACTGAGCCTAAAATCTTATTAATTTTGGTTATGGAAGGTGGGGGATGCATATGGAGTAAGCGATGAAGTGAGGCAACGCTGTCGTCGATGTTATTTGCACGTGAGGGTTGGGAATGAGCCAAGAACTTGGGATTGAGGGAATGATAGAGAGAGGGAAGCGTAAGAGACGCAAAAGACGGAGGAAAGTGAGCAATTTTGGGCAATGCATACCTTGAAATTGGACACAATAGATGAAGACAATGCATGATTGTGGAGATGGGGCATGAAGACAGCGAATTTCAAGAGGGGCAAGTCGAAGGAGACGCGGAGAAGTGGGTTCCTAGGAGCTCTTCACCCGTGGGACATCTGCCTAATAAAAAAAAAAAATTAACTCTTGATGGGGCTTTTTTATCCAGACACGACAAACAATAAAAGTATTTACTCAGATGCTATAAGATCAAAAATATTTACTCAGATATTACACTTGAAATCGTTCAGACAGTGAACGAGTTTAAATTTGTACAGAAGTTATTCAAGCCAAAAACGACTTCAGTGGGACCCACATCCAAAATATGAAAGTTGTTCTTAGTCTGAACAACTTCAGTGGGACCCACATCACAAAATGGAAGTTGTTTTTGGTCTGAACAACTTCAGTGGGACCTACTATTTGTCTTACACTCCATACATAAATCCACCACAATACCAAGCATGCAATCTAGAAGATGATTCGCATGTACAATAAATGTGACAAGTGAACTGTCGATTCTCAACTCAGTTAACATGTGCAGAGTTGTATGCCAATATAGGTGACTTGGAAGATGTTGGTCATATTGAATCACAACTAATGGACAAAAATGCTGGAAATACTCTTCCATCAAGTAGCAATCAGTTGAACATTATAGAAGAAGAATCCATGTTTAGCGATCAGATGGAAAATCTTCATCCATTTGAACTTCCTCATTTGGTCAAAATACGAAAGTTGAAAACGCATGGAGTGTAAGACAAATAGTGGGTCCCACTGAAGTTGTTCAGACCAAGAACAACTTCCATTTTGTGATGTGGGTCCCACTGAAGTTGTTCAGACTAAGAACAACTTTCATATTTTGGATGTGGGTCCCACTGAAGTTGTTTTTTGCCTGAACAACTTCTGTACAAATTTAAACTCGTTCACTGTCTGAACGATTTCAAGTGTAGTATCTGAGTAAATATTTTTGATCTTATAGCATCTGAGTAAATACTTTTACTGTTTGTCGTGTCTGGATAAAAAAGCCCTCTTGATGGAGCTCAACTCGGCAATCCAAATAATTAATAATTAATAATGCCTTTTGTCCCAAATATAAAATTTAGTTGGAGGATTTTTTTTTTCTAAATATCCATTGACTTTAATTTTCTTTATATTTAATACTTTTTTACATTATGCTCGTTAATTTAAATTTTTTTTTTTTACTCTCTTTGTTTCTTCTTTTAATACTCCTATTAAAAGAGAGTTATTTTAAGAAGAGTACAGTAACTTTTTTTTTAGGACAATACGTTCATTTTTAATTACATATGACTATATGTTCTATTTTTAAATATTATTATTTATTTATAAAATTACATAAAAAGAAAATACATGGCAATGTGTAGTTAGATAACTTAATGTAATGGATACGAGGAACCTGAACATACTATTTTCTTTTTTTACATAATAATAATAACAAATAATTAACTTAATAAATTTTCTTAATTGTACTCAAATTTTATTTTTTATTTAAAAAATTCATCAATTTTATGGATATGGTAAAAGCTTCTTACATTGTTTATTTTATGAGAAAATTTAAATTTATTGTTAAAAACTAAATTAGGAGAAGTTTTAACAAACCGAAAGAACTATCGAAGAAGAAAAGAGAAAAGGAAAATTAGATATTATTTATTTGTGACTTCTTTTTATTTTGGTGAACTTTATCTATCTCTTTTCACCGGCACCAAGTGTGACTTCCGTTTGGATGAGCGATTGGAAAAGCAGCTTATAGGAAAAGTAGCTTATGGAAAAGTGAAGTTGGTAAAAGCTAAATTGGATAAGTTGAATTGTGTTTGGATTGGAGTTCAGAAAAGCTAATTTGCAGAAGTGAGATTGGTAAAAAGTTGTTTGGATTATAGTTGAGTAAAAGTAAGTTTGGTTATAAAATGACCAAAATGGGTATAAGTGTTAATAAATAATGAAATATGATTAAAAAAATGATTTGACATAATACAATGAAATTAAAATAATTTATTATGAAAAAGTCAAATTAATAAGTGAATTAAATTTTAAAATTTCAAAGAAATCATAAAAAATATTTTAAATTTAAAGTGAAACATGATGAATTATTTTTTTGAACTAATTTTAGCTAATTTAAAATAAAAGTTAGAGGCACCCAGCTAAGTATATGAACTGAAGCACCAGGAAAACCTTTTTACTCATTAACGAAGGTGGTGTTATTCTTTTCCAATAACATCTCACCATGTGTCCTAGGATAATTGGCAAAATGACGTTAATGGAGCCAGCGCCCAACTCGTCCCATTAAGCTTCTGCCCAGAGCTTCATAAGCTGCTCTTCCTAGCTTTTTTCACAACGCCCGATTTGGCAGCTTATTTTTGAGAAGCTCAATTATAAAAAAGTCCTCTCAAACGGACCTCTTTCTCCCACTGAGCTTATTTTCAATTTTAAGCTACGTTTGGGCCAGCAAACGCTGACCCAAACAGGCACTACATAAATATGAATTTCATTCCTTGATGACTATAGACTCTCGTAATACTGAAATGAAAGGTTCAAGAGAGGAAAGGAGTGTTAGAAAAGCCCTTAGATTTTGAGTTTTTATCATTCCCCAGATCCCAAATCTGTCATTCCTCAGTTTTTATTAGTTTGACTAAGAAATAAGGTTTCTCCTCTTGAAGAAAATAGAAATACCCATACCTTGAAACAAATTATTACTTTTCTATCTGATTTTGGAGGAAAGGAATCACTTTTACATTGCAGATTACTTTAAATCCTCATTCTATGATGAAAGAATTTATGGGTTTCTCTTATAACTTGAGCCTGACTTGCAAATGGTCATGTTTGGTTCCTTTTGGCTACCATTCTACTTCGGAAAATTTCATCTTCCCTTCTAACAATTTTTTGTGCGGATAGACTGTTTGGATCAGAGGAGGAAAACTTCTTCACATTTCATTAACGTTCGGTATCATGGGAAATTGATTCAAATTCTTGGATGGGAAAAATTTGGCTTCATCATCATCGTCAAATTTTTACCGATCTTGACCTGGATAAAAAATTTACAGTTCTTTAAAGAATTTGCCAGGGGATTGGATGAAAGTAATAGACTCCGGAAAGATTTCTTTTTTTTTTTTTTGTTTAACTTTAACTTTAAACCTCCTCCTATAGGAGGGGGAACCACACACCCAGACAAGACGCCCACTCGCCCCACATTTGGTCACAGTGAGGTAAATCCTTATAATCAACTTCGGTTCGATTGAAGCAATGGGATAAGCACTTGTAATCAACAACCAGACCAGCAACACACGAAAACGAAGAACGGAACCTAGAAATATTACTCAAGTTTTTTTAAAAAAGTAATGTTGACAAAATTAACTCAATAACCACATAAAAGTTAACTTCAGGCAGAACAAACCATGACTTAAGCATACTTTTATACAAACTCCTTTAGAAGTCACCATAGAATCATGGTTTCCGACGAAATGACTTAGAGTGTGTTTAGCATTACATTAGTGACCCCAAAAGTAACTTCCACACTGCAAAAGCCAACTTCTGACCATTTTTCTTGTTTGGATCCATAATTGTTTAAGAAGCTCTTTTCTCTTCTATTGCACGGTGGAGTAGAAGCCACAAAAAGTGGCTTTTCCAGTGCATCACTGTGCGGCAACATCACGAGCTCCTTAATTTCATTACCTATCCAAGTTGCCCTTCTACTCGACAAAATGAAAATTAATAAACCTTTTTCTGGGAATGATTATGAGATGCTTTGTCTTTCTTTGCCGGAGAAGAAGCAAAAGAATCTCTCTTTACCCTCTGCTTCTGCTTCTACTAAAAGCTCTCCCAGAACTTCTCCTGACGGGTAAACATTTCACTCACCTTATTCCTTCACTTTCATCGCTGTTTTGGAGTGCTATTGATTTAAGGAACTCTAGCAACTTCGACTATATTTTGGGTTTGCTTATTTTATTACGTCAACGTAGCTTGTTTCAATTGAGTGCTGGGTTTCACCAATTCGCCTCATGATTCAATGGTTGAAAAATTTTCGTTCCCTTTTAAACATTTGAATATGCATTTAATTGATAAAAATTGAACTGGAGAAAATGGCTAATCAAAGATACAGTGGTGGGTCCGTGAATGATTATAAGATGCTGAGGTGGGGAGAGGGATTTTGAGAAGCTAAGATTTGAGAGGGATTTTGAGATGCTGAGGGGAGAGGCAGTGAATGATTATTGCTGTTGCTGTCCGGGACGAATTGACAGAGGCAAGGTAGGGGAGGGGCGGAGAAGGTTGGTGGTGGATTGAGGAGAATTGATTAGAGATTTTAGGGTTTAAAAAAAAAAAACACCAAAACCTTTTTCATTTTCCGTTAAGATATCTTTTTATTTTTTATTTTATTATCTAAAATCTTATATTCAGACAAGTTAGCCCAAATATCTCTAATCTCAAGGGATTATTCAAATATATTTGCATCTTTTTATGGTATTTATTTTTATTATTTAAAATTTATATACATTTTTTATCCATTAAACATATCTAATTAAGTACTTTAGAACTATTTTTATTTTTATAATTTGTTAATTTTAATATTTCTCTTAAAACTTTCACATTATGTACATAATATATATATGTCATTTAATAAAATTTATGTCCTTTCCAGTAATTTTATATCTAAACTTACTTTTTCATTACTCATCCAAACAAGCTTTAGCTGCTCAAACTGATTTCTTTGTAAAAGCTAATCCAAACATAAATTACATTATACTATCTAACTTCTACCAAAGTCAAATTACAAAAAAAGTTACTTCTCCACCACTAATTTGTTACACAGCTGAGCAAACCGCGTTGTTGGGCGTGAGTCAGGAAGGCATAAACTAAACAGCAATTATCATTTCTTCTCTTTACGTTTCAATCCAGATGGTCCAACTATTGCCGAGTGTGGGGTATATCTAAGATAGAATGAACCAGAGAAACTCCACGGAGACACCTGCGTCAGACATGTAAATGCAATAATAGCCAATGATATCCAACATTTTTCAATTAGATAAAAACTTGCCTCGTTTGGAAGAAGGTTACAGCCTCCCACATTGGGTCCATGTGCTTCAAAGGTCTTGGACAAAACCATAGAGTGGAAATCATAGTTCATGACTCTAATTTCAAAATAATGCATTCCGGACTACAGTTTTGAAAGCAAATGCAGATATCCCAATAAGATGTTGAACCTCAACACAAACCATCCTCATAGCAACGGAAATACAATAACGCCTACAACTTCCCCTGTAAGAAAACATATTTCACATACCGTTTTGCCTAAAGTTAGAAATGCAATGAATAAAAACACAACAGGCAAACCTGCTAACCAAATTATTTTCTATTACACGTAAATCATATAATTTAAGGAGATGAAAGGACCCGAGCATCACATATTCATGGTAGCAAAGGGCATTGAATTAAGACTAAAGAAGGATATCCACTTAGTTTACCAAAAGAAACAAACGTTTGTAAACCATTCAAGTAAATCTAACTTTAACATTAGTATAACACAGATTAATATGCCTTCCATTTATGCTTACCCTCCAAAATAAATTTAGATATTAATTTTCTTGGTTGTGTAAAAGAGCCAAATGAACTTTTAAGGTGGTCCATAAAATACTGGAAGGAATTATCGAAATCCAAGAAACTACATTTTAGCTGCAACTCTAATTTAGAAACAAGATGTACCCGAAAGGTTACAGGTCAAAATCAGAATAAACTATAGAAAAGGAACAAAGTCATGTTCAAGACAAATTATTCACCAACAGATGGTCAAAATAAATGTGTCAAACACATTGCTTGAACAAAATTTCTCCAACAAAATTTACTTCACAGTATAATCAAACAATTTTAGTTGGAAAGAAAGAAATTGCTAGTCCTTAAGGGCAAATTTCAACATTTACACAACTATAATATATAGTAGAACTAGTGCATTCAACCTTATTTCATCATTTTACAAGACCATCACCAATCATTTCCTGAAGAAGCTTTTCGGCCTTCTCATTCTCACTGTTTTCCAAAAGAGCTTTAATAAGTGTCTCATATGTTACTGAATCAGGAAGACATCCATTTGCTCTCATTTTGGAAAGCAAGGCCATAGCTTCAACCAACAACCCTCCTCTACAAAGCCCACTGATCATAACGGTATATGTATAGACATTTAGATGATAGCCACTCATTAAAAGGCATTGAAAAATCTTTTGAGCATCATCTAGTTTACCACCTTTACACAAGCCATCAATAAGTATAGTGTATGTGTATACATTAGGCTGAATTCCCTGGGCAACCATATGCCTAAATAATGCAACCCCTTGATCAAGATTTTGACTTTTGCAAAATGCATCTAACAAAATACTATAGAAAACTATATCTGGGGTATGACCACTTTCATGCATCTCATAAACAAGGTCTTCCATAAATGACATCCTCCCTGATTTGCATAGGCCATCAATAAGAGAACTATATGTTATCACATTAGGAACCAAGCCTTTGTGACGCATTTCTCGCAAGAGGTCTAATGCCTCATCCACCATTTTACTCTTACAAAATCCGTTGATCAGTATATTATAACTAACTACACCAGCTACTACACCACTTTGAACCATCTTGTTGAATACTTCCTTTGATCCACTAACATTATTCATCAGACAGTATCCATCCATTAAAGAACTGTAAGTTACAACATTCGGTCTCTCACCACATTTCATCATCTTAGCAAACACAGTGAGAGCTTCAACGATCCTCCTTGCTTTACAAAATGCATCAATCAATACAGTAAATGTATGAACATTAGGTTTGATGCTTTTCAATTCCATTTCATGGAGCAATTGGGTAACTTCATTCCACTTTCCAATGCTGCAATAACCATGGATTAGAGAGGTATATGTGAAAACAGACGGCAGAATTCCTTGATCAATCATTGTTGAATAAAATTCATGGGCCTCAATGACACGTCCAAGTTTGCAAAGCCCGTCGATGATAGTGTTATATACGACTACGTCAGCTTTAATTCCCTTCATTTCCATAATTTGGACCAATTTAACAGCAGACCTTATTTTCCCTACTTTACACAGTCCATTGATCAGGGTGCCAAAACTAAATTCATCGAATTGAAATCCTTTACCTGTTAAGTCATGGTAAAAGTCTAGTGCTTCCCCAACCTTGTTACCCATGCAGAGTCCTCTGAGTAAAGTAGTCAAGGTTATCACATTTGGTCGAAGACCCAACTTGAGAATCCTTCCCAACATTGAGAAAGCAGAATACATCTGACCCACATGGCAGTAACAATTGATCAAGATGGTCAATGTAAATAAATCAGGTATGAATCCCTTGAACTCCGCTTGAGCAAACAACGAGATCGCAATTCGATATTGTTTAGCCTTGGCAACTGAGCCTAAAATCTTATTAATTTTGGTTATGGATGGTGGGGGATGCATATGGAGTAAGCAATGAAATGAGGCAACGCTGTCGTCGATGTTATTTGCATGCGAGGTTTGGGAAGGAGCAAAGAACTTGGGATTGAGGGAATGATAGAGAGAGGGAAGCGTGAGAGACGCAAGAGGGGAGAGAAATTGAGCAAGTTTGGGCAATGCATACCTTGAAATTGGGCACAAAAGGCGGAGATAATGCATGGCTAAGCAGATGAGGCACAACACGACCACGGCGAACTCCGACAGCTTCGAATCAAAGGAGGCGCAGAGAAGAAGGACCGAAGTTGAAGGGTTTTTCCTACCCCGAGCACTTGCGATTAGGGTAATTGAACCCAGCTAATTGGCCCCCTCCAAACGCGGCGTTTCTTTTTTTCATTTGCAGCTGCAATATTGTTGCCGGGCCATTGGATCCCACCTTAAGGTTTTTGATTCATTCCTTCGCTCATAATGTTCTGCGTTCCGAGACACCAAGGCATTATTTGGATTAGCGGCCACAAATCTGACTTTTATTCTATTTAATTAATTTTTGCAAATATGAGCTTAAGTAAAAATCAATTAGTATAACATAATTTATATTTCAATTGATATTTATAAAAATTCAATTTAAAAAGTTGAAACTTATTAGATGGATAATAAAAAATTAAATTTAAATATAAAATGATTTAAAAAGGATATAAATTTTATTAAATAATATAGCATCTTATCCTTAATATAAGAGCTAGTTAATTAGTTTGAGTAAATTAAAAAAACTAGTTAAGTTAGTTATTTGTAATAAATATGCGTTGTCTTTTTTAAAATATACATGCTAATCAAATATATTAGCTAGAACTGTCATTATTACGGTAGTTATCTTGAAAAATAATAGATAAATATAAGAGTTAAAGTGGATGAAGATTTTATATTTAAAATTAAAATGAAAGTAAAATGAGCTCTTATATTAAGAACTGGAAATAATACTGCTTGTAGTCCTTAATACAATATCAATTTACAATAATGACAAGTTAGTTTAAAAAAATAATAAATATAAAAAGAAAACTTATATCAAGTTACTTAGATTAAATATGTCAAGTTAGCCCATCAAATTAAGCCAGCAATATTAATCTTACACATCATCATTTTACCCCCAAAATAGTTGTTAAACCTTGTTAAAATAAATATGGAAAAATGGTTTTATTTTTTGTTTTAGTAAGCGTTTTAAATGTCTTAAAAGTACTTTAAAAACATTTTTTTTACTCCCTCCGTTCCTTATTATAATAGACATTTGATACTCATGGCATGTTCCCATATATAAGAGACACTTAAAAGTTGTCTATATTTTTTTGTATTAACTTCCTATTTTGCCCCTATTTATTTTGTCTCCAACTCATACTCTCCTTCCCTCCCATTTCTTTTTCTTTTAATAATTTAATTGTTCTCTCTCATACTCTCTCTCCTTATTAACAGGGGCATTGTTGGAAAAAAAATTCTACTTTTTACATATTAATTATCTTCAACTAATTTTAACTGTTTTTTTTATCAACGCAATTTGGTTATTTGTCTCTTATAATAAGAAACGGAGGGAGTATAAACTAAGAAAAAATTCTTCCCGTACACTTTTATTTTTTTCCATATTGGTCTTAGCAGTGTTTAGTTATTGTTTTGGGGCTAAATAATGATGTGTAAAATTAATACAATTGGCACGATTTGATTGACTAACTTCACAAACTTAACTAAGTAACTTAATATAAGTTTTGCCCTAAATACAAATATTTTTTAAAAATTTGTTAATTTCTTAATCTCTTTATACAAATTAATTAGGTCTTACATTAAGACAGCAGATATTATATATATTATATACATAATGTGATAGTTTAAAGATGAATATTAAAATTAAGAATTATAAAAATAAAAAATAGTAAAGGTATTATTGAAAAAAAAAATTAGAAAACAATGTGGATCCATTTTTAAGTTTTTCATGACAATTTTATCTACGTAATAAGGACGTCCGGGGTAAATCAGAATAATTTAATCTTTTCTTGAAAAAAATTATCTTTTATTTTAGAAAAAATGACAAAAAAAGTTAAAAATTGCAGTATTTCAATTCAGGTACTTAAGAGATCACAATATAGGGAGAAAGTGATACCCGATTTGGTATTTTGCAAGTATAGTTAAATGACAAAAATGCCCTTGTATTAAAAAATTTATTAACAAGTTGTGAAACAGTTATTAGTGTTGAATAGTAAATGGCAAGAAATGTATTGACAATAACAAGTTATTTATTAATAAATAGTGAATTGATAATGATAAATGTTAAACAAACAATAACAAGAAACATACTGATAATGACAAATTTGACATTGTTTTTTAGAAAATATGATATAAGAATATTTTAGTCATTTGGTTATATTTGCAAAATATCATATTAGGTACTATTTTCTTTTCTGAGATTTTGACCTCTTAGGTATTTAAATTAAAATATTATAATTTTCAACTTTTTTTTTTTGGTTATTTTCCCTTTATTTTATTAAAATAATGTGGACCAACCTTTTTATCCCTCTCTCCCCCCCTTTTCAAAACAAACGAACGCAACCAAAAGTCACCCGGGGATGGCCCTATTCCGGACATGGACATACGGCTTTTTTACTTTTATGATGCATTTAGCTCCCCACACGGCTAATCTAAGCACATTCCATGAAGATGCTAAAAAAATCCAATACCCGTACTTTTTTTTATTGCCAACAGAAAATCAAATACAGATAAGTTGTGATTCATTCATTCATTCATGGGCGCCTTTCTTGAGGAAAAAAAGTGGACTTCAGTTGTTTGTTATATTTTGCAGGGAAAATTATAATCACGTCTTAAAAATAAAATTAGTTACTTTAAAATTTATTGATAATTAAAAAATATGCAATGACAAGTTTCAGAATAAAAAAAAGACAATAAATTCAGGCTGGTCACTTAAATTTCTTACTTGGACCTCATATTCATATTTTTTATATAATCATATGATACCCAATACTATTATAACATGATTTTATATGTTATATTTTCATTTGTTTTTTTAATCTCGTATAACTACCATTAAATTTTTATAACGAAATATTAGGTCATAACAAAAATGTTGGCAAAAAAAAAAGGTCATAACAAAGCTACGTGGAAGCAATAAATCAAATACTTAATTATCATTTTACTTATAACGAAATTTCTGCACCTATTTTCAGCATGGATCATATCATACGTATATATTGCACAATTCTCAAACATTATTATTTTTTAATTAACCCTACTGGTTGGGGCTTTAGTTTTCTCTCAAATGAAAAATTAAAAGAGGTCTCTAAAAATATTAAAAAGAGTGGAAGCGTCATTTGAATGGGCATGATTAATCATATCACTTGATAAAATGGTTAATTAATTAAAACGTTCATGTGCTGTTATGTGAACCTGTTTGCGCGTTGGCATGCGAGCATGGAGTATTGTAAACTTTGTATATAATATTTTTGAATTTTTATATTAAAATCTCCCTCTATATTTTCATCAGAAAACTCCCACCTCTTTTAAACCACAATGGGCAAATGATGCATAGTCCTCAAGGCTAGCTCTTGTGAATCCTCAAAGCTTTTAATCCAAAACAACCGAATTGATACGAAATACTGCTTGATTATTAATATAAGAACTCGTTTCATTTTTATTTTGGTCCTAAATATGAGACTTTAATTTACTTTGTTTCTTATATTTATCTATTATTTTCTGACATAGTCCTTATAATAATACTAGTTCTAGCCAATATACTTGATTAGTGAGGATATTTTAGAAAAAACAACACATATTTATTATAAATAACTAACTTAACTAGTTTTTTTAATCCATCAAATTAATCAACTAGTTTTTATATTAAGTACCAGAGGTAATATTAGTAAACATTCGGTCATAGAGCTTAAATCAATGTTCAGAATTACACTCAGAAAGAAATTAGTAGAAGAAGAAGAAAGAGAGGATATCAGAAGCACAGGGAAAAATTATTTATGGTAGTAATGCTACCACAGGAAAGCAAGTGACTGGGGAAACGATAGAAACACAGTTCCTTCGGTTGCAATTGAGCTCCAGAAAACATGAAATGAGCATACCCACTTGGGATATAGTCCAAAACCATTGTAGCCCCAATTGTGAGAAAACGGCAGTATCTATAATTATGGTGGCAAGTCCTAATGCAATCTTGATCGAACACCAAAATTGTCAAGGTCCAATAGATTGTGAAATTTTGAGAGTAAATCAGATTCCCAATCTCTCCTTCCCAAGAGGGAGAATGTAACTTCACCTAGAGATTCAATAACTCAACCTGCATGCCAACTTTTGAAAAGTATCAATCATGAACTCACAATAACAGCAGTAAAGATTTATTCCACTAGGTGAGGTTGTCTATATAGGTCATGCAATGTTATTGAACTCTATTCAAAACCAAATCTCTGAATATATTGTTAATTGAAAGATTTCGTTCAATAATTTCATTAAGTGTTCTCTTTGGCCTTCGTCTATTTCTTTTTAGAAGACTCTATATTGTTTGATCAACTCTTCTCACTAGCACATCTGAAGGCCTTTTCTATACATGATCAAACCATCTTAATCATGAACTCATACAAGTTATAAAATCCAAAAATATTGTAGAATTCTCTGATTAGTTGCTGCAGAATATTGTTGTGAAGAATAATTGTCACCACCGACGCTCTTTGAGGAACGTCATAAGCATAGACTTCTTTATCAGTTTTCAATATGTTGATAAAACATGGCCCAACGTCCGAAGAAGGTAAGCAGTGTTTCATATATCGGCCAATTCATCAAGGTGTTATCTCCATAATGCCGAGGCTCCCCGCTAACAACTAGCAAATAACAGTGCCAAAAAAAAGAAAAAATCTAATGCCATTTGGTTGTTTTAACAAAATCCATATGGGAAGATCAGCCAATGAAATGATTGGTGAAGCGATTCGGAGCCTCTCCTCTCCTCTTTCCATTCTCTTCCATTCTTTTTTTTTAATCATTGGATTAATATTTTAATGAATCATATTTAAATCTTTTTAAAACTATTATAAAAATATTAAATTATAAAAATAAATAAATTATAAATTATAAACTATATTAAATTTTAATTTTAATAGTTTACAAAAGCACTGAATTTTTTATAAATACTTTATAAAAAATTAAAATCTAAATCGTTGAAATATGTTAATCTAATGATTAAAAAAAGAAAAGGAGGAAAAAAGATGGGAAGAGAAGAGGAGAGGTTCCAAACTGATACATGGAGCCATGATAGGAGAGCCCA